AACATTTATATATAATTCAAAGGACAGATTGTGGAGGTTGGTGGTTTAACAGAAAGCAAGAGCAAAACAGATATATGAGAAATAAAATTCTATATATTTTCTCAGTCAATTAATGAGAGCTTATTATCTCCCAAATTAGAAACAGACAAAACTTTTAGTAGTTTATAGTCTCAAAAATCACTTATCTACAGAAGACCAACCCAAAGGAGAATCAGTGCCAGTTTAAGATTTATGTAACTTGGGATAAATGAAAGAACAAGATTATAATTATGATTCCAATGTTCCTAAAAACTGAAAAGCTCTTAGGTAGGAACATTACGTAACTTTAAAAAATGGATTTCTCCAATGAAAGGAATATTTTAGTAAGGTTCTCCATTATGTAGAACAATATTTATATAGTTTTAAAAACACTGCAAAGCAGTTTGCCACCTATCATCTCATTTGATTACCTCCAATAATTAGCACGGTGCTTGGCAAACAGTAGGAAGTGTTTAGCAAATATTTATTAAATTGCATTGAATAATATCTTTTTTGCAGATGAGAAAACTGACAGCAAAAAGGTTAAGTCCAACAGTTTACTGTCAGAGAAAAACTTATTTTTAGCACCAGATTCAGGCCATGATTTTAACTGTTCATAACATTTTCATTAAAAATACCTGAGGTTATTCAAACAAAATTTATACTAGATGGGCACCACTACATTAATATATAGGGTATGATCTCCATTCCCAAAGAACCCAAGTCAGAATTCTATCTACAAGAGCTGGTGTTAATAAAATGATGCTGTCTCCATTTCTGAAGAAATGAGGGCTTCCCCACTCATTTCAAAAGGTTGCACTTACATATCTAAAGGAAATGCAGCTCATGTGATGTGAAAAACTGAGAAAGTTATAGATAGGTCTGACTGGCTCCAAAGCACAAACTTTCTTCTATACAATATTGTCAAAAAACAAAACAACAAACAACAAAAACCCTACATAAAGCATGTATTCTCAATGGGGGTGATATCCTGAGAAGATGAGAAATTTTTTACTTTTTTTAATGTATAAAGTACAGAGACATATGGGACATAAACAGATTTATAGTATATGTAGGGTACGGTATTAAAATTTCACAGGGGGTAATATATTTAACTCTGTACCCCACAGATATGTACCATCGACTATGCTACAATAAAAAAAAATTTTAAATAAAAAAAATAAAATTTCATGGGGGACAATTCAGAAAACAAGTCTAAAAAGGTTCTTGGGCAGAGGGCAAGGATGAAGGAAAAAAGAGAGAAAAACACTGATACGGAGCCAGCAGAATATCTTTAAAATTCACAATAAACAAGCTTCAGTTATAAGGCAAATCAGGAAGTTCTATGGAGATTAGTCAGTCTCTCTTTCTTAGTGGAATAGGAAAAAAATCAAATACTATCAGAATTCTAAGATCATCTGTACTGTTCACTTACATTGCCGTGCATGTAGTCAATAAAAACAATTCCCTTGCAGTAGACTTTACTTATCTTTAAAGTAAGAAAAATGACCTGACTCACAGAATAAACTTAATAAATAAAGATAATTTCCAGGGTCATATCTTACACATATACCATCACCAAAAACAAAAGTTGTTCTATGTCTGATTTAAGAAGGAAGGAGTTCCCCTTTATTTCTGAGCATAAGCTGGAATTACAACTGAACCCTAAAAATGTTTTCTGGAAAATCACAGATCCTTAAATTTCAGACAAAAGAATAAGCACTTTAAACCTTCACTGAATGCAACTGAACAGGTGAGAAAAAATTCATTCATCTATTGAACTCACCGCTTTCAATGAACGTTAAATCATTAAATCATGAGATTTTCATTTAGAATACATTTATTTCTATTGAAAATACAGAATGAACAAAGTAAATTCCACCTACTGGAATCTTTCAAGATACATATTTTAGCTTAGGAGAGGTTCATTGAAAATATAAAGTAACAATAGTAAGTACTAATAATAGTAATAAAAACGATAATAAAATACCTGTTTTTAGTTTTATCGTCCCTTGGCTAATTCATGCATACATAAGATAGGGGACTTCAGCTTACAAGTACATGATTTAAAAATATAAAATCATAAATCCTTTTTTTTATAAAAGTGTACTTTCTAGGTCATTACTTGTCAGTATGCCAATTTATTAATATTGCTCCTTAACAAACATTTCTCTTACCATTTTCTTTAGGAGTTTATTAATCTTGTTAATGCATAGTATCAAATATATTTAAGGAAAAAAAAAAAAAGACTGAACCAAATGCTAGAAGGAACTGCGACACATATGTTTTCGGCCTCATGTCTATAGTGACTGAATTTTTTTTTTTTAATATTAACTGATTCAAATTGGTAACAGGAAAGAGAAAAGGAGGATGATATAAACAAAGGTAGCAGTCTGTCTTACTTGAAATAGGACAGACATCTAGAAATGGTCAAGGAGTAATTCATGATTAATTGTAAAATACTTGAGGATAGAAACTGACTGGATAAATGTTTCCTTTTTGTGGTTCAGCCCCTAGAATAACACACTGAGACAATGGGCACGCAATAACACTTGATTAACTGGCCAAATGATTTGAAGTTATCCTAAAATTACCTTGAAGCAAGAACATGGCTTGGAATACATACGAACATACCAAGTACCTAATGGTGTCCACAAAACATGTCGATAAAATGCATTGACCTGCCTTCTCTTAGGGACCCCTAAATACTGCGTTTTGATAGTTTTCCTAAGATAGATAAAAGACAATATTTTCGTCCAGAAATATGGCTTGCACATTCCACAGTGATGACCATTTTCTTTAACTGCCTGAGAACCACACTTACCATATATAATCTTGGTAATCTTGGTAGTACCTAAAGAAAAATAAAAAAATAAGAATTACAAAATAAAAAATTTAAAAAGTCATTAGTTTTCTGGCAACATAATATATACACCAATAAACTATACTTGAAAATTCAAAAGCAACTCAAATTTACATAAATAAAAGAAAGTATAAATTAAAAAATTATAAATAAATTTATGAAAATAATTACATATTACTAACTTAAGTAACATAAACACCAGTGCCTATATCTCTTCAGAGTCAACACCATAAATTATAACAAAAAGTTATTGAATACTAAAAGAAACACCAACTAAATTTGGTTATATGACTTGATAGCAAGAAAGAAGTTTGAAAAGCTTAAATAGTAATAACTGTTGAGCCAATCCTACTAAGAAACTGTAAGAAACCTAAGGAACTTTCAGCAGACTACAAAACTCAGAATTATCATATTACCTTATTTATGTCTTTCAGTGACTATAATTAAGCATTGCAAAAATAACAACTTTGAAATAAACACTATTTATTTATTTATTTATTTGTCTTTTTTGTGACTGGTAAGGGGATCGCAACCCTTGGCTTGGTGTCGTCCGCACCGTGCTCAGCCAGTGAGCGCACCGGCCATCTCTATATAGGATCCGAACCCCCGGCAGGAGCGCTGCTGCACTCCCAGCGACGCACTCTCCCAAGTGAGCCATGGGGTCGGCCCCAAATAAACACATTTATAATAATAAATCAGCTGCTCTGTTGAGAGAAGTGAATACATATACTCAGAGTACCATTTAGAACAGGCAATACTGCACAGCAGAAAAAGCACAGGATTTGGAGCCAGCAAATATGTGTTTAAATTTCAATTTCCTCCCCATTAATTATGTACTGGATATGAATCATACAACTTAATCTCTAAGCCCATTTCTCAGCTATAAAATGAAGCTAAAAATATTTACTTTGCAAGTTGTTGTAGGGACTAATGTCGACAAATAGAAGGTGCATGGTATGCCACTATGGTACATATTCAGTAAGTGTTAGCTACTATCCTTTTTCAATAAGAACTAAATATGGCATATTATATTGTTCCCTAAAAGAATAAATTAACTGTACATAAAATAGAAATTTGACCCCAAATACTGATATTTTTTTCATAATAATTGACAGGTTTAGTCTAAATTTGTTAAATTTTCTTATACTTTTTATAGAAAGAAATATTTCAACGAAATTAGTTCTACAACAAATTCATATAAAGTGAAACATATAAGTTTGAGTGCTAAAAGTCACGTTAGATAATGAAACATATATTATTTATGTAAATTATAAAAACATACAAAACAGCATGTATTACTTATTATTATGTGTTACTTGTTTCATTCTACATACATACATACGTATTTTCATACTACATACGTGTAGTATGGAAACATGGACAGGAAGCAAACATACCAACCTCAGGGAAGTAGTCGCCTTATAGGAAGAAAAATGATGGGTAAACATACAGGGGAACTTTAACAATAATATCTGTAAATGCTTAAATTCTTAAAAATATCTGGGTAATGGCAAAAATAGGCTTCAAGATAACAATTATGAAATATATAAATAACCTCTGTTACAGAACAATAAAGTCTATAAAAATGCTATATCACAGGCAATTTGTGGGGCACCTCATGGCGTTCTGAAAGAGCATTAATTAGTAAGAAGTTTCACTCCTTCATTCAACAGGTATTCCTAAGTCTACGGAACACTTCATTCCACTTTCATAAAATAATCATTTATAGAGCTCTATAATAATATGAACTATTTGAAAGAATCTCTGTAGTTTCAATTACTTAGAAGACAGTGTTGAGATGCTTTACCAAATTAGCAACTCTATGGAATCTGGAGAGATTCTTCAGCATGTTTGAGGGATGGGTCTCATTTGTCAGTAAATTAGATTCCAAAATCAGCCTTAAGGATGGTACTGATTTGGTTCTTTGAAGGGATATTGAAGAATTCAACCACTCGCTGAATGACTATAGAAATTAGAATTCTTCACCAACCTTAATTTACCATTGTTTTTATGGGGCCATGACCTTTTTCTATATTGTAAATGTTTCTTTTTAAAATATTTGCCTTTGCACAATTAAAGTCTACCTTTCAAGAAAGTCAAAAGCATCAATATAAAAATCCTACAATAAATTGACACTATTTAACCTTGCAATCTTGGTCAAGCTTAAATTTCCACCATAGCGCATTAGATCCATACTCAACCTGAATAGGGTCAACTGACCTGAAGAAGAGGTTCCTCCATTTTTAGATATGATTGTTGCATGAGAACGTGTGGTTGCCCTGGGAACATTTACCCCCTGTGCTGCTGTAATACGAGCAGAAGTGAATCTTTGTGTAATCTGGAGACCCTTAGTCACTGGGATATGTGCAGGAGTGAACTTTTGTGTTGCTGGAAGACTCTGTGTAAACAAAGCTTTTGCTGTGGTGAATCTTTGGGCTGTTGGTGTGGCAAATGTAGCAGAAGCATTAGCCATGACGAGATTCTGGGATGCTGGTGTGGTCTTTGTAGATACAGCATTTGATATAAGGGATGTCTGAGCTGTTGCTGGGGACTCTGTGGCTGAATCACTTGCTGTGGTGTGTTTCTGAGGAGTTGGAGGGGCTTCTGCAGCTGGCACATCTACTGTGGTGTGTTTCTGAGGAGTCGGTGGGGCTTCTGTAGGTGAAACGTTTACTGTGGTGTGTTTCTGAGGAGTTGGTGGGGCTTCTGTAGCTGAAACGTTTACTGTGGTGTGTTTCTGAGGAGTTGGTGGGGCTTCTGTAGCTGAAACGTTTACTGTGGTGTGTTTCTGAAGAGTTGGTGGGGCTTCTGTAGCTGAAACGTTTGCCATGATGTGTTTCTGAGGAGTTGGTGGGGCTTCGGTAGCTGAAACGTTTACTGTGGTGTGTTTCTGAGGAGTTAGTGGGGCTTCTGTAGCTGAAACGTTTACTGTGGTATGTTTCTGAGGAGTTAGTGGGGCTTCTGTAGCAGAAACGTTTGCCATGATGTGTTTCTGAGGAGTTGGAGGGTCTTCTGTAGCTGAAATGTTTGCCATGATGTATTTCTGAGGAGTTGGAGGGTCTTCTGTAGCTGAAACGTTTACTGTGGTGTGTTTCTGAAGAGTTGGAGGGGTTTCTGTAGCTGAAACGTTTACTGTGGTGTGTTTCTGAGGAGTTGGAGGGGCTTCTGTAGTTGAAACATTTACTGTGGTGTGTTTCTGAGGAGTTGGAGGGGCTTCTGTAGCTGAAACTTTTGCTGTGGTGTGTTTCTGAGGAGTTAGTGGGGCTTCTGTAGCTGAAACGTTTGCCATGATGTATTTCTGAGGAGTTGGAGGGTCTTCTGTAGCTGAAACGTTTGCCATGATATGTTTCTGCTCTTTAGATTTGAGGCCAGATAGCACATAATGTGAAACTTTTGTTAAGGACACACCCTGAAAATCACACGTCTAACAACATAGCACCGTTTTATGTCTTCAGAGCCTGTTTGCCTCCAGGTTGCTGTAGCTGAAACGTTTGCTGTGGTGTGTTTCTGAGGAGTTAGTGGGGCTTCTGTAGCTGAAATGTTTGCTGTGGTGTGTTTCTGAGGAGTTGGTGGGGCTTCTGTAGCTGAAACGTTTGCCATGATGTATTTCTGAGGAGTTGGAGGGTCTTCTGTAGCTGAAACGTTTGCCATGATGTGTTTCTGAGGAGTTAGTGGGGCTTCTGTAGCTGAAACGTTTGCCATGATGTGTTTCTGAGGAGTTAGTGGGGCTTCTGTAGCTGAAATGTTTACTGTGGTGTGTTTCTGAAGAGTTGGAGAGGCTTCTGTAGCTGAAATGTTTGCTGTGGTGTGTTTCTGAGGAGTTGGTGGGGCTTCTGTGGCTGAAACATTTGCCATGATGTGTTTCTGAGGAGTTAGTGGGGCTTCTGTAGCTGAAATGTTTACTGTGGTGTGTTTCTGAAGAGTTGGAGAGGCTTCTGTAGCTGAAATGTTTGCTGTGGTGTGTTTCTGAGGAGTTGGTGGGGCTTCTGTGGCTGAAACATTTGCCATGATGTGTTTCTGAGTTGGTGGCACTTCTGCAGCTGGCACATCTACTGTGGTGTGTTTCTGAGGAGTTGGTGGGGCATCTGTAGCTGAAACGTTTGCCATGATGTGTTTCTGAGGAGTTAGTGGGGCTTCTGTAGCTGAAATGTTTACTGTGGTGTGTTTCTGAAGAGTTGGAGAGG